AATAGTCCTTGAATTCTTGAGTCGCCTTATCACAACTTCCTCACACCACGTTTCTAATATGTAAACAGAGAATAATCCTCCAGTGACTGTCGAAAGCCATACTCTTTTAAAGCAGTAGACAACTTAGAAAACCAACACTGTGAAGCCTGATTTAAACCATACAATGACTTCTGAAGCCGACATACCTTGTTTTTATTTTCGGACTGAAATCCAGTAGGAAAGCGCATGTACACTTCTTCCTCCAAATCGTCATGTAAGAACGCATGGTGTACATCCATCTAATGAACAACCCAACATTTCTTTGCTGCTACATCAAGAAACATTCATATGGTACTCATTGTGGCTACTGGAGCGTAAGTCTCATGATAATCTTCTCCAGCAACTTGTTTGTTACCCAATGCAACAAGACGCGATTTGTACCTCTCCACAGTGTCGTTTGCTTTGAATTTTACTTTAAAAACCCATTGACATCCTATTGCTTTCTTGCCTGGTGGTAACTCTTCAGTCGTCCATGTAAAATTTTCTTCCAGAGCATCAACTACCGATTTTCTTCAACGCTCATCCTTCATGGCTTCTTTGAATGATTTTGGTTCAGTAGTTTTGATTATTGCAGTGAAAAAGGTGGTATGTTTTCCTGCAAAAAGATGACAACTGTCTTGTTTCAAAATTGGATATCTCACTCTTGATTCAATCTGTCCTCTTCATTGATTGTCACTGAATCTACCACACAAAAAAAATTCAATGTGACTGGAGTCTTTTTGTTTCTAAGACCCCTTCCTAACTGAATCTCTGGTGATTCTACTTGTGTTTCTTGTTCTAATTGTTTATTCAGATCCGGTGACTCATATTGCATCTGTGAGGAAGTCGCTGGTTGTGACGGCTCACTTGTAGATGCGTTTGATGGTTGGCCCAAACTTGTAGTTTTCACTGCCCCCAACATTATCAGATATCCCTAAATTTGGGTCAGTACTCACATGAGGCTAATTTTTTTGGCCACTTCTTCTTCTTCCAAAAACCCACCATAAATTGGAGCCCATAACCTCTATTCTTCTGTTTCTTCAACCTCGCAGCTTTGTTTCTCTGAAAATGGAAATTCAGATTCTGAAAACACGACGTCCCTGGATACGAAAAACTCCAATTTCTCGAGGTCATATAGTTTCCATCCTTTCTTACCATGTGGATAGCCAACAAAAACGCATCTTCTACTCCTTGCAGTGAATTTGTCTCCTCTATTCTGATTGTGTGGACAACACAAACTACCAAACACTTTAAGGTATTCATATGTTGGCTTCTTCAGATACAAACGTTCATAGGACGTCTTATTTTCTAAAACAGGACTGGATGTTCTGTTTATTAAATATCCTGCAGTCAAGATACATTCACCCCAGAACTCGATAGGCAAATTAGCTTGAAACGTCAAAGCTCTTGCAACATTCAAGACAGGTCTGTGCTTTCTTTCTACTCTGTCGTTCTGTTGTGGACTTCCCACACAAGAAGTCTCATGTACTACAAGATTTTTCTGAAAGAAATCAGCGAGACTCAGAAACTCTGAGCCATTGTCGCTTCTTATAGCTTGAATACAAGTACTGGATTGTGTTTCAGTGAGAGCAAAAAAAAAAATTCAAATGTTGTGATGCTTCCCTTTTCTCATTCAGAAGATACAGCCACACCCCTCTCGAGTAATCATCTACAATGTTCAAGAAGTATCTTTCTCCTGAATGTGAAGGTGTTCTATACAGACCCCAAAGATCAACATGAATCATCTCAAAAATCTTAGATGTTTTATTCATACTAATTGGAAAACTTTCTCTTGTTTGCTTTGCGCGGAGACAGACATCACACGCTTTATTCAAAACAAAAATAGAAGCATAAACAAAATGAAGTAATTTCACACTCTTCGCAGAAAGATGACCCATCTGATTGTGCCACAGCTCATATCCTTCTTTTCTTCTCGATGTGACTGATGCTGCAGTCTCCAAGCTGTGAAAGTGAAACGTTCCTCCAACTATTTTATCAGTTCCAATCACCATCCTCGAAATGCGGTCCTGAACAACAAGAAAGTTATCAGCCATCTGAACAACATATTTTTTTCATCCACAAGTTGACCAACAGAGATCAAATCAGACTTCAGTTCTTCTAATTAGTAAACAAATTTCATAACTAGATCAGCACCAAGACGTATTGTTCCTTCTTTTAAAGAGACTTGCTTTCTCCCATTGGCATTAATAATTAAGACCTGAGGCATATCCCTCACATTTATTAACCGCCCAACTTTTTCTGTTAAATGATGTGAGGCCCCCACTATTCATGATCCAAGGAGGGAATGAAGATTTACCATCCAATTTTTCAGTCGCTTTGTCTTTCCCAGCATTTCCATTGATGATGTTCTTAATAGAATGCCATTGCTGCTCGGCTAAGCCAATCACCCCATCTCTGTCTTGATCGGTAAGCACGAAGTTCGCATGAGCCTGTTTCTATGGTTCCACATTGGAAACATTGACACAATTTGCGTACGCAAATTTTTCCCTTCCTCTACCACCACTCAAGCTCGAACCAGTAGCACCACCACGACCTTTACGCTGAAGTGTTTCTCCCATTCAGCCTGTCTCCCCACCACTCGGGATAACCAATCACGGCATAGCAGCTTTCCGAAGAGTGCCCACTACGATTACAGTGTTTACAAACCACACTTCCTTCTCCGTGATAACGCGACTTTGTATGTGTAGAAAAGGCTGTCATTTCAGGCCTCTCTTCTCCATTGAGATTTGAGACGAAGATCCTCCTATAGTCTCACAATGTTGTACACCTCTTCAAGTGTCTGCATAAGCTGTCGAGCTACAAGACTCGATCTCACTATGCGATACTGATCATCCAGTCCAAACAGAAACTTGTGGACCTTAACCTCTTCACAATCAGCTTCTTGTTCCGTTCCGAGATCACAATCGCACTTTCCACACTTGCAAGTCCTCAAGGGTCGATACATTGCAACACTGTCCCAAATACGTTTTAGTTTTCCATAATACGATTCAATCGCCAATCCTCTTTGCTTGCACCACGCTAGCTCGTTTTTGATCTGCTGGATCTTCGCACCATTCAACACCGAGAATCGTTTCTTGAGATGAGCCCACAAGTGTTTGACAACATCTATGTCTGAGACACTGGAACGGAGGACCAGATCAATTGACATCTTGATCCATGACACAAAGAGTGCTTGGATAGTCCCCCAATCTTCAAGATCAGGAAAGTCGTCACTTGGCTTTGAGATCGTTCTGTAAAGAAACCCAAACTTCTTTTAAGAAGTCAAAGCCGTTTTAATACCACGCGCCCACTCATCATAGTTGATTCCTTTCAACAGTGGATGTGAGATCACGGCACCTGGGTTGTCAGCCAAGGTCGTAAGGTGAGATGGTTCTCTTCACCTCATTCATTGCTGGTCCAGCTGCGTTGGTTTGGGTCGTGTTCGCCTTGAACAATTTTCAAGGTTTTTCAAAAAAAAAATTAGGTTTCAGGCTTTGATACCAGAACGAGAATCATAGGTTATAAGAATGATGTATATAGAAAAAAATGATATAAGGTTACATTTATACAAAACTAGCTCAAAGTATCTAGGCGATATCTATCACTCTGTTACAACTAAAGAAGATAGTTCCTAAAGTACAGAAATATTGTACTGAGATTTAGAATAATACTCCATATAGCTAACCAACACCTGACCAAGTGTACTAGTAAACCATGCTTGAGTAAACCGAACTCCAATAGACGCTCCGTGCATCTCAACCGGTGGCCTTCTCTCCAACTCTGACAAACACTTTAGACGTCATTCTTCTCTGAAACATAAAATTTTGGCCAAATGGGTCTGGCTCTTTACGAGTGTTGTCTCTGATAGCCACAATCTAGCCTACCAACTCTCAAATCTAAGGAGATGGAACTTAATAATCTGATTTTTGTGGTTAAAGCATAAGATCATATCTCTTTTTTTTTTTTTTAATTCCCAGTGGATTCACGGGGATTGTTTATGTCACCACCATTCCTCCTTTATGTGAAAAGAGATGTTCCCTCTGTCACATTACCGAGCATGAGGTTCAGCTATCTCATCACTTAGGTTTTTTTTTTGTAGGTGAGGGCTTTCAACGTCACATTTTGCGACTAAATTCCAGCTATCCAACTCACAAAAGCTTTCATAGATGCATTCAAGTTTCGTCTCGAATTCGCTGTATTTTGTGTTTAAGATAAGAACTATCTCGCTTATCTTATTTTGTTGTTGTAGTTTATGTTTCTATTAAAGATTGTGGATCATTCCCTATTGTTTTGTTACTTTATTAAAATGGCTGAGTTTTTAATGAAAGTTAGTTATGTTTAAAAAAAAAATTAAACAAAGCGATTGCTGGGCATGCATGCACCCTTCTCATCCCGTGATATTTATTATATTCACCAATTAACGCAGAAGACTTCTAGCGAATGGAAATTATAACTTTTTATTTAATGGAAATTATAACACACTCTACATAAGTATAAGTGTGACACACGCTACATAAGAATATATACGTACTTGCATGAGTATTCAAATGTTTATCATACACACATTATACATATGACATGTATGATGAACATTGGGTACATATCCCAAAAGTACAATTAAAACGCAACTGTCTACCACCAAACACACTTGTTATATATGCTATAAAGTCCAAAACAAATTCGTAGATGATACGTCAGTTGCTTGCTTCTGATAAAAATATTTAGAAACAACATTCTGCAGATGGAAAAAGTAATCTGAATTTGGTAAAAAATAGTTTAGATAACTATTAATCATCAAAGTATTTTCTTTCACATTCTTGTCTCCAATGTTATTAGAAACAAAATAAAAAGAATGAGAACAATGAGTGACATTTCTGCATTACAGACCCACCAAATTCTCAATGTGCCTCAGAAGTAAGATCCCACTATTCATCTCTCTAATGCACACACAATTGTATAGCGAGCACAAAAATTTAACAAAATTAGACATGGCCGGATGTTGAAGGATGAACAACTTTGTTTTGTCTCCCTGCAAGCCAAAGCATGGTCCTCCTAGCAAAAGATGGCGTTTTCGTCCCCAAAGATTCTGAATTTTGATTCTCTTCATCGATCCCATTCTTCATCTCTGGAAGATTGCTTTGGTTTTGAAATTGGATTGAAGATGAAGACAACGAGGAGCATTCCTGATCTCTAACACTATTACCCTTTTGCTTCTCCTTTTTACCTCTTAGCCAAATTTTCGACAAAGAAAAGCTCTCTCTTTCCATAACACTTTTCCCAATTCCCTTAACCCTACGATCAAAACCGCATTCCGACATAACTTCCCTATGACCAGACAAGCAACCGTCTTTGTCGGATTGTTTCTTGGTCGTAACGTGGACCTTGAGTGTAGCTTCTTGGTCTATAATATACTCATATGATCCCATTGAAAAACACCTCCTTTCATCTACACTGCTATTACCACTAATACTATTCTTGTCGTTACTTCCTTCACCAACATGATCCATGTTCCTAAACTTCCCTAGCTTTACACCTAAAGGAATAACCTTTCCATCTAAACCATCCAATTCACCACCCGGGTCGCATGATGTACGCCCCGACCCGAAATGGGTCGACCCAAGATCATTAGCCTCAGGAACAGGAACCATGTCTCTCGAGCTTCGACCACTCGCCGACTCAAGAACAAGAAGATATGAACTGTGATGAGATGAGAAATCAGAGAGAAGGAGATTGGATCTGCAAAGTGGACATGTGGAGTGAGAGAGAAGCCACGTGTCGATACAGTCAACGTGAAAGGCGTGGCTGCATTTAGGCAAGAGTCTAAGCTTGTCCTCTGTTTCGAACTCACATAGACAAACAGGACAGTCGAATGATGAAATCTTGAGACCTACGATGGACTTGTAATGAAAAACAGGTAACGTGTCGATTAATGATTGGTCGACGCCATAATCGTGGAGGTGGAAGAGTTGCTGAAGCTGGCCTTGAAGAGCTGTGACGTTGTTGTCGATGTAATCTTCCCTGTTTTGGGTTGACGGTGTGAAGAGGAACTTGAGGAGGATATGGATGAGACCGGAAATGAAGAAGATCATGGAAATGATTATGATTATAAGGAGGATGTCTGGGCTGATTTTGCTGGCTAAGTCGAAGCTTGTGTTTGGTGATGAAGGGGAGTTCATGTTTTCCCGAGAAAATGTCATGGGTGAGATGAAAGAAGGTGGAACAACTTACCAAGAGCCAAGCTTAGTTTTCTTGAAGCTGAGAGAAGAGAAGAGAAAAGTTTGAGCTCAAAGTGTTTTGAAATTAATGAGACAGTGATGATTATGAGAATCACAGGTTGGACCATTGATGGTGACAGATGATATTTCTTTTTTTTTTCATTTTATATTTGCTTCTTATGTAGTCTTTGAAATCATATTTAAAAACTCTAGAAATTTAATGGGATTTGGATCTTATTATTAAATTATCTAAAGAAATGGGAAGTCAACGGGACATTTCATTAAATAAAGAGACTGATAATACCACTTTCCTTCATGAATAGTTGAAGATAATATTTTATGATTTAATTACCATGTTACAGCCAACGGGACAAACAACATAAATATGTACAATCCATACGAATAAACCAATTTTCTGAAAGCTTAACCTTTGGTTTTATGTAAAAAAAAACTAGTATGAATTCAAAATGTCATCAAGATTGAAAATGACTAGACATAAGGGAATATTTCAAACTTATTAAAATTGGGGTGGGCTATTCATGCGGAAATAATATACGGCCAAAATTTTTCTGGGATGACCACAATGTCTTCGTTGCCAAAGATATCCGTCCCAGTATGAGCTTTTTAGAGTGGGAAATAAGAAGGTTAAAAACAGTATGGAATGTTTTTTAATAGGGTTGTTTTGCCAAATGGGAGTGTGTGTTTCTGATGGAACAACTCGTAGTATATAAGATAAGAATTTGTTCTTTGGGGGAGATGAAGAATGGTTTCGTACTAATTTGGGTGTGCATCTATCATGCATGAAAGAGTGACAACTTTAATGAGTTCTCTTTCAAGTATAGATGTGATGCCGAAGTTAGACTTCGATTGAGGATGATAATTTTGTGGTTTCAAAGTAGTTCGTTTGTAGATCTATATGTTTATGAGTTAATGGATAAAAATTAATGGATTAATCCAATCCAATCTAATCCAAACTATATGGATCTAAGTGAATAGAAAAATTGAATAGAAATCGATTTGATGGATAAAATGATTAATGGAGTTATTGGACTGGATTAAATGATTTGGATTAAAATGAATACTGAGTTATCCATAACCAAATTAAAAATAATTTATAACTAACATAAGCTCAAATCAAATATAAAAACAAAAGAACTCAAACTAAAATTTTAAACCAATTTTACTAAACCAAGTTTGTATTTACTTTCTCATATATATCTAAATCAATCAAAATAAATTAAATCTAACCCAATTTCTCATATAACTTTTTGTCAAAACACAATTTCTTAAATATACATGTTGCTTTTTTTATTAAAATATAATCATATTTTTGCAAAAATCATAAAATTTGTTTTCACATCAAGACTGTAAAATCGAGTTTTTCCGCACACATCAAAAATCAGTTTTTTTTTGCCAAAACTGTAAAATCATGTTTTCAGTCAAAATCACAAAATTATGTTCTCGCCAAAATCGAGTTTTCCGTCAAACAACAAAACTGTGTTTTTCTGCCAAAACCGTAAAATCATGTTTTCCGCCAAAACCGCAAAATTATTTTTTTTCTCACAAATATAAAAATTGTATTTCCATTCAAATGATAAAACCACCTTTTCCAAAGTCTAAACAATATTCTTTATTTTCAGCCCCATAAAATAATATTTTTTAATTTAATAACCATTTAAGTTATATTATTATTAGGATTTTTAGTAATTTAAACCCTCAACTAAAGATTAATCGTAAAACAAACCCTCAACTAAAAATCTTGTGAAATAAACCCTCATTTTTATGTCCGTTAATTTTTTCGCCCATCCGTAACTTTTGTCGTCAACTTTTGACGGAGAAACGTTAAATGTTGACGAAAAGGTTACGGAGGGGCGAAAACATTAATGGACATAAAGATGAGGGTTTATTCCACAGGATATTTAGTTGAGGGTTTATTTCACAGGATTTTTAGTTGAGAGTTTGTTTTACGATATATCTTTAGTTGGGGGTTTAAATTACTAAAAATCCTTTTTTTGAAAAAATCCTATAAGTATTGATTATTTAGTGATTTTAGGACCGATTTTACTATTAATACAAACTCACTTTTTTGTCAATGAGACCTCGCATTCCTTCGGTAAATCTAACTTGTAGCTATTCTTGTTTTCATGTTCGCTCTTTCAAAAAAAAAAAAACTTGTTTTTGAGATTAATGTTTGGTTTAGGTTTTGCATTAGTCAATTCGTACAAAGGAACAACCTAAGACCGGAGTTTAAATTCAGGTATCCGATCTTCATTTTGGTGAGGAATCCAAATTAGCTCAGACAACAAATTAAGTGGACCAATCTCCGTCAATTCATTCTTTTTTCTCTAACAAATCATCTCAGTATCTCAATGCTATGGAAAAACCTATGTCAGCGTGTGCATCTTTCAGTGGTCGTCCTATAAGGACAGCGACTTTAATGCCATTTTCAGTGGCTACATCACTCAAACCAGTCACTCATGTATTTCCATCCGACCCACCAACCAATCTTAGAAAAGACAAAAGGTAACTAAAATATAACTTGTCCTAATTTAAGTTATAGATATGTTAGAAGCGTTTACTGAACCACCATTCTACACATTGACTGTGGTATTATTTCTGTATTTATTTATGTTTATGTTAAAATTAGTAAGTTCTCTTTTAGCATTGAGAGACTGAGATGATTTGTTAGAGAAGAAAGAACGAATTGACGGAGATTGGTCCACTTGATTTGTTGTCTGAACTAATGTGGATTCCTAACCAAAATGAAGATCGGATACATGAATTTTAAAATTCGGTTTTAGGTTGTTTCTTTGTACGAATTGACTAATGCAAAACATAAACCAAACATTAATCTCAAAAACAAGTTTTTTTTTTTGTGAGAGAGCGAACAGGAAAACAAGAATAGCTACAAGTTAGATTTACCCTCCTTCGAGGTCTCACTGACAAAGAAAAGTGAGTTTGTATTAACAGTAAAATCGGTCATAAAATTACTAAATAATCAATACTTATAGGATTTTCTCAAAAAAGGATTTTTAGTAATTTAAACCCTCAACTAAAGATATATCATAAAAAAAACACTCAACTAAAAATCATGGGAAATAAACCCTCAACTAAAAATCCTGTGAAATAAACCCTCATCTTTATGTCCATTAATGTTTTTGCCCCTCCGTAACCTTTTCGTCAACATTTAACGTTTCTCCGTCAAAAGTTGACGACAAAAGTTACGGATGGGCGAAAACATTAACGAACATAAAAATGAGGTTTATTTCACAAGATTTTTAGTTGAGGGTTTGTTTTACGATTAATCTTTAGTTGAGGGTTTAAATTACTAAAATTTTTAGTAATTTAAACCCTCAACTAAAGATTAATCATAAAACAAACCCTCAACTAAAAAGCTAATTTTAGTAATTTAAACCCTCAACTAAAGATTAATCATAAAACAAACCCTCAACTAAAAATCTTGTGAAATAAACCCTCATCTTTGTGTCCGTTAATGTTTTCGCCCCTCCGTAACTTTTGTCGTCAACTTTTGACGGAGAAACGATAACTGTTGACGAAAATGTTATGGAGGGGCGAAAACATTAATGGAAATAAAGATGAGGGTTTATTTAATAGAAGTTTTAGTTGAGGGTTTATTTCCCAGGATTTTTAGTTGAGTGTTTTTTTATGATATATCTTTAATTGAGGGTTTAAATTACTAAAAATCCTTTTTTTGAGAAAATCCTATAAGTATTGATTATTTAGTAATTTTATGACCGATTTTACTGTTAATACAAACTCACTTTTCTTTGTCAGTGAGACCTCGAAGGAGGGTAAATCTAACTTGTAGCTATTCTTGTTTTCCTGTTCGCTCTCTCACAAAAAAAAACTTGTTTTTGAGATTAATGTTTGGTTTAGGTTTTGCATTAGTCAATTCGTACAAAGAAACAACCTAAAACCGAAGTTTAAAATTCATGTATCCGATCTTCATTTTGGTGAGGAATCCACATTAGTTCAGACAACAAATCAAGTGGACCAATCTCCGTCAATTCGTTCTTTCTTCTCTAACAAATCATCTCAGTCTCTCAATGCTAAAAGAGAACTTACTAATTTTAACATAAACATAAATAAATACAGAAATAATACCACAGTCAATGTGTAGAATGGTGGTTCAGTGAACGCTTCTAACATATCTATAACTTAAATTAGGACAAGTTTTTTCTGTTACCTTTTGTCCTTTCTAAGATTGGTTGGTGGGTCGGATGGAAATGCATGAGTGACTGGTTTGAGTGATGTAGCCACTGAAAATAGCATTAAAGTCGCTGTCCTTATAGGACGACCACTGAAAGATGCACACGCTGACGTAGGTTTTTCCATAGCATTGAGATACTGAGATGATATGTTAGAGAAAAAAGAATGAATTGACGGAGATTGGTCCACTTAATTTGTTGTCTGAGCTAATGTGGATTCCTCACCAAAATGAAGATCGGATACCTGAATTTAAACTCCGGTCTTAGGTTGTTCCTTTGTACGAATTGACTAATGCAAAACCTAAACCAAACATTAATCTCAGTAACAAGTTTTTTTTTTTTTTTGAAAGAGCGAACATGAAAACAAGAATAGCTACAAGTTAGATTTACCGAAGGAATGCGAGGTCTCATTGACAAAAAAGTGAGTTTGTATTAATAGTAAAATCGGTCCTAAAATCACTAAATAATCAATACTTATAGGATTTTTTCAAAAAAAGGATTTTTAGTAATTTAAACCCCCAACTAAAGATATATCGTAAAACAAACTCTCAACTAAAAATCCTGTGAAATAAACCCTCAACTAAAAATCCTGTGAATAAACTCTCATCTTTATGTCCATTAATGTTTTCGCCCCTCCGTAACCTTTTCGTCAACATTTAACGTTTCTCCGTCAAAAGTTTACGACAAAAGTTACGGATGGGCGAAAACATTAACGGACATAAAAATGAGGGTTTATTTCACAAGATTTTTAGTTGAGGGTTTGTTTTACGATTAATCTTTAGTTGAGGGTTTAAATTACTAAAAATCCTTATTATTACTCATGGATAAACTATTAAAACCATTAATTCATGAACTTAAAATATTTTTATTGACCTAGTGCATTTGTCAAATGGAGTAGATTAATCCATACCTCATATAAGCTTTTAACCATTTGGATATGGTTCGATTTGGGTTGGTTACTCATTTTGACATTCTTAAATTACGAGTGTAGATGAGTTTGTAAGTGAAATACGGTGGGTTAGAACTCTGTTTCTTTTGTTTATTTATGTCCTATCGAGTAATTCAATAAGTTACGGAGGAACGTACTTATCGCTAAAGAGTGGATAAAATATCACAGTCTAATCTAAAGTTAGAAATCTTTCAACTATTGTCAGAGGGTAATAAGATCATCTTATACTGGCTGCATCGACCAAAACCCAAGTCCATACTGGTCAAATAGCAGCAACTTTGTTCCCACCAATAATCAAATCCATAACAGATAGATTTACACCATGCCCTAAGTCTTTTAGCAATATGTTACCATTACTTAGAAACTCAGTTCTTAGTTTTCTTTGTTTAATTCTAGATTGAGAATCAACTTACCTCTTCTGAGGCTCTTCTTCCTTACGCCTGCCATTCCCAGATTTTACGATTGCTGCACTTGAGCATTTTGTGGACCTTCCAGTTGTGCCTGCTTTTAAAATGTATTGGACTATATTTTTAGTATAAGATATTCCATTTATTGTAAGTTAGTATTTAGTTTTTTTTTACAAATTATGATGTTTGTTAAAGAAAAGCCTGATTGCGGTTCTTGTAAAAAATTGGAGGTTTGTTTTGGAATAAAACTTGCAAGGGAAGGGATACGAAAGACTTTGTTGGAGAGAATTTGTTAAGACTTGTCTCGTTCTTTGTGACGTTTTTGATATATGCGTACATGCTTCTCTTTTTTGTGTGAATTTCTTCTACGAATCACAGTTTAGACTATGCAAAACACGTAAACTAACTAGCTAAATCTGTTTACATGGTTCCTTTGAAGCCACCAAGGGATGAAACTGTTTAAACGCTTTACATCCTTCTACTCAACTCGAATGTCCATGAGCAACACATACGAGACTGTTTTAGCCCTTATGGAGAAATCAAATCTATGTCTTCTTGTCAAGAGAGGTGTCAACTGTGCCTTTCTCACATACACAACCCAGCAAGCAATGCCATGCTAAAGCTCTCCTTCTGGGTGACATCAAGGTCAGAGGCATAAACTCTTATGAGGAGCACATCAGCTCCCAAGGGCACTGCAGCTCAGGAGTATCAACCCCCATGAAAGAACCCATAATACGAATGTTTCTAGAATACTAAGCCCATTGAGAGTTTATTTCAGAAAGAAGCAAAATAATAATAATAATATATAACTGAAGCAAAAAAGTTATTATTGCTTTTTCCAATATCTGGTCAAACAGTACTACAGTACTATTTGTTGATTCTCAATTCAAAAAAAGAAAAAAAATACTATGTGTTGATTTTTCTTATAGTTGAATTTGATAAATATCCGACAGTAGTTATATTTTATGATGACTTGTTCCTTTGATAAGACTAGGCATGTGCTGTGCATTTGGGTTTCTTTTGGGGTACGGATTGGGTTTTTTTTGGATTTTGCAAAAATCCCAATTGGATATATTATAAAAAAGAACAGATTCAAGTTGTATCCAGGTGGGTCAATCAGGTTTCTGATTTTTGGGTCGGTTCTGGGTAAGTTATTCGAGTGACCAACCCTAGTTGAGACCAATTGGTTCATTGGTTTATATAATCATTAAGGTCTCTAGTAAGATGTCAAAAGATGTAGACGTTTCGTTTTCCACACCGTGTTGCTTGAACATTTCAGCACGAATTTATGAAGTGAGTGTTGATCACGTTCACTTGATGAGGAAGGCAAGTTGCAATGTTGAGCATGTTGCCTCTTGTTTCCTCTCTTTAAGATCTATGTCGCTATCATGTTTAGACTTTTCTTATTGCTTTGGTTTCTTGGACTTAGATGTTGTCTAAGTCTTGGTTCTTTATTTTTGTATTAGATCAAATAGGTTATATCTTGTAGCTCTGTAGACTTGGACTCAGTCAAATGGATTACAGAACTGAAGCTACCCAGAGATACAAAACCAATGACTCTTTCCTCCATAGAAAAGTAGCTGGTCAATCAATCAATCAGTCTTATGATTAGTAGTATATAAGCAGATGGGTATGAATGTATGATCTTATAAACTCTAACCACCATTTCAAAAACCAATACCCAAGAGCTTTTCATTAGTGTTCTTTCTTGTAACCCATGGAAAGATTTCCGTTCTTGAATATTCTAAAGGATGTTGTGGGTACCTTAAACGAATCCCGCAAACTCTTTCTCAAGAACAAGAAGTTGATGCTCTCGGTCTTGGTATTCCCTCTCTTGCTCAACGGTCTAGTTTACTTGTTCACCGTCCTTGCCATCAAACCCGAGATAACAAACTTGATTCAAGAATCAAATTTGTTACCTATGATGGATCCAAGCAGCCCGGAATACATAGCCCAAGTTATGAGAGTATTCACAGATTTTCGCCAATTTGTCGTTTCGTCATACTTCTTTTCCACCGTCTCCTTCATCATCAAGCTTTTATCCGTTCTAGTCATCGTCCATGCTTCGGCTCTTACTCTTAAAGAAGAGAACGCCAAGTTCAACGATCTTCCGGTTCTGACCATTAAATCCTGGAAGGGACCTCTTGTGACCTATTTCTACATTTGTCTCTTCACTCTTGGCTATTGGTTTCTCTTCTTTATAGTCCTTTTCCCTCTCCTTTTGTTATTTACAAATTTTGGTTCCTTGGCAGCCAAGTTTTGGGCTTTGTTTGTTTTCTTCACATCGTTTGAGTCCTATTTAGCTATTGTTTGGTACCTATCAATGGTGATATCGATACTCGAGGAAACTTATGGAATCCAAGCTTTAGGGAAAGCTGCAAAGATTGTTAAAGGGATGAAACCAAAACTATTCCTCTTGAATTTTTTCTTCGGTTTATCGTGCTTCGGTTTAGCTCAGATCGTGAGACTGGTCGATTTAAGATGGTCGTTTGTGCTTACCTTAACCACCGGCTTGGTCCTTGTGGGGTCAATCTTTGCAGTGAGAATGTTTCAACTTGTGACTTACACCGTAGCATATTTCCAATGCAAGAGCCTCCACGGCCAAGATGTTGAGTCGCTAAGGGATGTTGAATATACGAAATTACCGTCCAATTCGCTTATGGGAGCATTGCCTTAACGTATTTAATAAGAGATTGGCATATTATGGTTACAATCTCGTGAATGGATTGTTTGTTTGTATTGAGATTTGGTTTATTGCTATGAATAATCAAAGGTTTGGTTGACTACCTAGCAATATATGTTGTGGATCAAAATCTCAGAACCCCAGTAGATTATAATCAAAAGTTATTGAAACTGTAGAACAAACCGAAAATACTTTAGCAATACATAGAGCAAATCACAAATGTCCATGTGTTTTTTTTTGTTGACTTGTTGGTACTATGATAAGATTTTAAAGTTTACTATATTTTTTTGCTAGTTTTCAAATCGTGGGGCTAATTTTTGACTGAAAATAATTTACTTAATAGAGATTATAACTTTCTTATAAATATTATGTAAAATATATTTATTTTTGATAGTATAGACAATAGGATTCATTTTACTGTTTGATAAATATAAGTTCATTCCGTTAGTCTAGTGTATTGTAAATATTTTACATATTTGATAAAAATACCAGCAAAATTATAACTGTAAAAACAGCGACTATAATTTGTTTCATCATGTAATCAAATAATATAAATATAGATAAATGTTAATAGCTTAATCTAAAATAAAACTGTATTCATTTAATATTTAATGTTATAGCCTGAAAAATAAACATTTATAATATAAATAAATATTTTTTTTGAAATATTTTATTTTTATTGTTCTTTTAAGTTGAAATCTATTGTAAATTTACGATTTTATGTTATTTTTTATATGTAACTAGATGACTTACAGCGATATCAAGAGATAATATCATTTAAATACACTTGTGGTAAAAAAATTATATATATATATATACACGAATATAAAGTTATTTTAATAAATTAATTTTATTGATAAAAATTGATAGAGAATTTTTGATTGGTTACTAATGAAATAATAACATTAAATTTAACTTTATATTATTAATCATCTTAACACATGTATCTCATAATTATATAACCAAAGTTATAAAGAGAAACTACCAGATGAGTCTTTTTTTTTTGTTTTTGAAACCAAGTATCATATATTAGTTGTAATATATATCTACTATTTATGCTTTAAAAGATTATATTAGAATACTTGGATATATAATAAATTTTTATTTTGGAATTTTACTAAGTATAGTTTAGTTTTGTACACAATTAATCAATTTAATTAGATTAATTTCAAGACATTCTAAAATGTAATATAAGAGATCCCACTAAATATCCTAATATTTTTTTAGGATTCTAATAAAATATTAATCTCTTAAAATAGAAGTACAAAATTAAATTAACCCTTAAACTTGCACAATATTTACAATCCAATGCCATTAAAAATTAAATAAATCTACATTTAAGTAATAATTCTCTTTTCTATTTTATTAAATAATTTGCTAAATCAAATAAAATTTTCTGATCAATATATTTCCTAAAATGATTAAGCTGAATTTTAGGAAAAATCAAATTTAAAAACGTTTTTAATTATATAATACAATATTTTTCAAGTATCATATAAACTTTACATATTTAGTGTATAAGGTCTAAAATATATGTATTTAAAATTTTCTAAAATATATGTTTAACCATTACCATTATTTATTTTGAACAATAATATCTATTTATGCTAAGATTTAACTATTTTTGAATTACTTATAGAATAATATGGATTATTTATAATTGAGTATTCATTTTAATATTTATAAACTTCCTAAAATATATATATTTAAAATATTTCTATAATATATTTTTATTCATTCAGTTACTATTAATTATTTTCAACCATACATTTATGTACATAAAATTTTAAATATCACAAAATTACTTGTAGAAAAATATTGAATCTTTATAACGGAACATTTCTTAGCTGATGTATCTAAATCTTGACATATGACCCATATATAATCAAAATATTTAGAATATTTTATAGTTGGAAAACAATTTCATGTTAAAAAAAGACATTACTCAAACATATCAATAGTTTAATGTTTGTCAAAAATTAAATATAGCGCACGGGTCAAGCTCTAATATATATTAATTCAGATAATTTGAAGAAACAGCTAGATATAGATATTTTTTTGTTTGTCTTATAATTACAAATTCATGTTCTGATGAAGATGAAAATCATGTGAACTGCAATCGAATATAATATTATTTCATTATAACAGATTATGAATTAACTATTTAAAGTAAGCTAATACATATTAAAACACTAAGTCTCATATTCTATAAAATGTGATTCTAAAAAGTGCCTAAAGCAGATTTTTTAAAAATATAATATAATACATAATTGTTTCTGAAGATATATTCTTAAGGACTATTTGTAAAATTGACTCAAAACATGAAGTCAACCATAAAACTAACCTATGTTTTTTTTTTTACCTTATTCACCCCATAAGTTCACATTATTTACAACAGTACCATTGGCTTTTTTTTGAAAATGTCATTTTACTCTCTCAACCTCATCATCTTAGTATTTACAAGATTACCATTACCATTAATACCCCAACCACCATAAACAACCAGTTTGGAGCTTTTAATGTACACAAATCGTTATCTCACTCCTTCTTTCTCCATTCTTAAAAACTACAAACAACATCTCTATCACTTTCTCTTCATATTCATCCAAAAATTCCTTTTGATACTAAAACAGTTATGGTTTAGTGAGGCGTTGAAGCTTACGATTCTTGCTGGGTCACTTTCGTTTGAGCTTATGTGGGTTTGGAGAAGAGTTATGTGTGCTAAGGAAATTATCTCACTAACTTAAGGTATGAAATCAAGATTTTTTCCAGATATGTTCGTCCAGACGACTTCCCAGGAAGTCGTCTGGCTGTAGATAACGTACATGGAAGTCTTCTGGTCAATGCAGATGTTAGTTTTGCAATTGACTTTTAAATGTGTTCTCTAGATGACTTACATGTAAGTCGCCCATCTTTGTTTGATAAAAAAAAACTCAAAACGACTTACATGTAAGTCGTCTAGGGGAAACGGGTTAGTTTTGCATTTGACCGGAATATTTCAGAAATGTGACTTTTCCTGGATTATTTACAGGTAAGTCGTCCAGTAGAAAACTAAAAAAAAAAAAAAAAAATTCAAGACAATTTACATATAAGTAGTCTCAGGTTAGTTTTGCAATTGAAATATTAAACAATTTTTTTTTTATTTCTAGACGGCTTACACGAAAGTCATCCGTCTAACAGCTTACATGTAAGTCGTCCAACATAAGCATTATGGGATTCTGGTCAAACCTTGCTTATTTTGGACAACTTACATGTAAGTCGTATAGAAAAAAAAAATTTGTTTAATATTTCAATTGCAAAACTAACCTGAGACGACTTACATGTAAGTCATTTAGAAAAACAAAATATTATCTTTTTTAATTTTCTACTAGAAGATTTACGTGTAAGTCTTCCAAGAAATGTCAAATTTCTGACACATTCCGGTCAAATGCAAAACCAACATGTTTCCCTTATACGACTTACAAGTAAGTCGTCTCGGTTTTTTTTATCAAACAAAGATGGACGACTTACATGGACGACCTCCATGGAAGTCGTATGCAACAATATTTAATAAACTTTCATTTTCTCTAAACCTATGAAGACTTTTTAATATTTTTTTGTTAATTCATATATATTAGTAAATATTATGGCTATTGAATGAAATTTATAATTTAATTGGTGATATTTATGAGATTGCCAACATTTATGTTAATTAAAGTTTCTAACTAATGTGCTTTTAACTCATACATGTTATATGCTTGCTAATGTGTATTTCTTGACCTTTTGCAGATGATGCGTTCGTTATAAACTCTGTATGGAGAATTGTTTTTGAAAGATGGATGTTGGAACCTTATGGTTGATCATTTCAAAAGGAGTGAGAATGTTCCTTTTGAAGGAAGGTTCGATATATGTTGAACTTGTTGAAATGACTCAAGAAGATTATAACCTGGACATGAACACAGAGTCTATGGAGTTAACCTACTCATTACCAGAGAAATGATGTATTCCATGGCTCCATAAGCCCCTCTTATTCATGTTACAAGTGATAGACAAGTTCAGAACTTGCTCGAGATAACTAAAACGCATGAAGTACATCTTTGTGTATCAAGCAAGATGAGAACAGTTTCAGAAGAAAGGGATGAAGCTGGTGAAGGGGATGAAGCTGATGAAGGAGATGAAGGGGATGAAGATGATGAAGATTTGTCTAAAGATGAAAATCATGATGGGAGGAGGAGGATGGAGAGGACGATGCTAATATCCCTAATATTGTTGAAGTGGTTGATAATGCTGTGGATTACAATGAGTATGAGAAGGTTAAATATGAGGATGAGGAAGAAGATAATGATATATGTTTTGAAGATTTAAAAAGGACATATGGTAGTGAAGGAGGAAGATTGAATGCTAACTATATCTGTGTGATATACTATGGATTTTACTCACTTTCAGTCATGGCATATAAGTTTTTTAAGATATAATTATTATTTTTGGATTCTTTTTAGAATATTTACAGACTCCGGTACATTCTGGAAAAATATGGTGACTTTGGTGTCTTTTGAAGCCCTTTGAATGCAAAACTCCACAGACGCGTCAGATGTTTAGCTATGGATGGAAACTTTCCCACCTATAGATTTCGCCCAACTTTTGGTGTCTTTTGGAGCCCTTTGAGTTAGATTTCCAATGCCACCGGTATGAGGTTAATCAGCATCATGTATCATAAGTTATGCATGTTTTACTGAAGAGTGGTCAGTCTGCCTCTTGAGAGGAAGCTGTCGAGAAGATAAAGGAAAATCGATGGATGCAACACTACTTGTATCGATCGATGGGAATCCCAAAACGCAGGTCGAGCATATTTTATGACTGATTTAAGCCCAGGAGTTACCACAAATTACCATAATGCCCTTGGACAACCATAAATCTTATTTATGTATTTCGTAAGCCATTGTTGACAGCTAAGCTTTATTTTCATTGTTATAAATTCTAGAAGAGAAGGGAGGAACTCCTATAAGAGTCTTCCTGGAACTCCTTTGGTTTCTTTATTTTTTATATCTATTGCTTTTTTATTTTATATCTATTCATCTAAGATTTCTGTGACAAACTTCATGTCTAAATAGATGCCCCTGTTAGGTTTAA